GTGCCCGCAGTCTTGCCAGACGACTCGGTGCCCCACTGACTCGGTGCCCACCGCCAGTTGACTCGGTGCCCGCAGTCTTGCCGGACGACTCGGTGCCCGCAGTCTTGCCAGATGACTCGGTGCCCGCAGTCTTGCCAGACGACTCGGTGCCCGCAGTCTTGCCAGACGACTCGGTGCCCGCAGTCTTGCTAGACGACTCGGTGCCGCTGTTCCGCCAGTTGACTCGGTGCCCGCAGCCTTGCCAGACGACTCGGTGCCCGCAGTCTTGCCAGACGACTCGATGCCCGCTGTTTGCCAGTTGACTCGGTGCCCGCAGTCTTGCCAGACGACTCGGTGCCCGCAGTCTTGCTAGATGACTCGGTGCCCGCTGTTCCGCCAGTTGACTCGGTGCCCGCAGTCTTGCCAGATGACTCGGTGCCCGCAGTCTTGCCAGACGACTCGATGCCCGCTGTTCCGCCAGTTGACTCGGTGCCCGCAGTCTTGCCAGACGAGTGCCCGCAGTCTTGCCAGACGACTCGGTGCCCGCAGTGCCTTGACTCGGTGATGATTCAGACGACTCGTGCCCGCTGTTCCGCCAGTTGACTCGGTGCCCGCAGTCTTGCCAGATGACTCGGTGCCCGCAGTCTTGCCAGACGACTCGGTGCCCGCAGTCTTGCCAGACGACTCGGTGCCCACTGTTCCGCCAGTTGACTCGGTGCCCGCAGTCTTGCCCACGACTCAGTGCCCGCAGTCTTGCCAGACGACTCGATGCCCGCTGTTCCGCCAGTTGACTCGGTGCCCGCAGTCTTGCCAGACGACTCGGTGCTGTTCCGCCAGTTGACTCGGTGCCCGCAGTTTTGCCAAACGACTCGGTGCCCGCAGTCTTGCCAGACGACTCGATGCCCGCTGTTCCGCCAGTTGACTCGGTGCCCGCAGTCTTGCCAGATGACTCGGTGCCCGCAGTCTTGCCAGACGACTCGGTGCCCGCAGTCTTGCCAGACGACTCGATGCCCGCTGTTCCGCCAGTTGACTCGGTGCCCGCAGTCTTGCCAGACGACTCAGTGCCCGCAGTCTTGCCAGATGACTCAGTGCCCGCAGTCTTGCCAGACGACTTGGTGCCCGCTGTTCTGCCAGTTGACTCGGTGCCCGCAGTCTTGCCAGATGATTCGATGCCCGCTGTTCCGCCAGTAGACTCGGTGCCCGCAGTCTTGCCAGATGACTCGGTGCCCGCAGTCTTGCCAGACGACTCGATGCCCGCTGTTCCGCCAGTTGATTCGGTGCCCGCAGTCTTGCCAGACGGTGCCCGCAGTCTTGCCAGACGACTCAGTGCCCGCAGTCTTGCCAGACGACTTGATGCCCGCTGTCTGCCAGTTGACTCAGTGCCCGCAGTCTTGCCAGATGACTCGATGCCCGCTGTTCCGCCAGTTGACTCGGTGCCCGCAGTCTTGCCAGATGACTCGGTGCCCGCAGTCTTGCCAGATGACTTGATGCCCGCTGTTCCGCCAGCTGACTCGGTGCCCGCAGTCTTGCCAGACGACTCAGTGCCCGCAGTCTTGCAGACGACTCAGTGCCCGCAGTCTTGCCAGACGACACGATGCCCGCTGTTCCGCCAGTTGACTCGGTGCCCGCAGTCTTGCCAGACGACTCGAAGCCCGCAGTCTTGCCAGACGACTCGGTGCCGCTGTTCCGCCAGTTGACTCGGTGCCCGCAGTCTTGCCAGATAACTCAGTGCCCGCAGTCTTGCCAGACGACTCGATGCCCGCTGTTCCGCCAGTTGACTCGGTGCCCGCAGTCTTGCCAGAGGACTCGATGCCCGCTGTTCCGCCAGTTGACTCGGTGCCCGCAGTCTTGCCAGACGACTCGGTGCCCGCAGTCTTGCCAGACGACTTGGTGCCCGCAGTCTTGCCAGACGACTCGATGCCCGCTGTTCCGCCAGTTGACTCGGTGCCCGCAGTCTTGCCAGACGACTCAGTGCCTGCAGTCTTGCCAGACGACTCGGTGCCCGCAGTCTTGCCAGACGACTCGATACCCGCTTTTCCGCCTGTTGACTCGGTGCCCGCAGTCTTGCCAGACGACTCGGTGCCTGCAGTCTTGCCAGACGACTCGATGCCCGCTGTTCCGCCAGTTGACTCGGTGCCCGCAGTCTTGCCAGACGACTCGGTGCCCGCAGTCTTGCCAGACGACTCGATGCCCGCTGTTCCGCCAGTTGACTCGGTGCCCGCAGTCTTGCCAGACGACTCAGTGCCCGCAGTCTTGCCAGACGACTCAGTGCCCGCAGTCTTGCCAGACGACTCGGTGCGCGCTGTTCCGCCAGTTGACTCGGTGCCCGCAGTCTTGCCAGATGACTCGATGCCTGCTATTCCGCCAGTTGACTCGGTGCCCGCTGTTCCGCCAGTTGACTCGGTGCCCGCAGTCTTGCCAGATGACTCGGTGCCCGCAGTCTTGCCAGACGACTCGATGCCCGCTGTTCCACCAGTTGACTCGGTGCCCGCAGTCTTGCCAGACGACTCGGTGCCCGCAGTCTTGCCAGACGACTCAGTGCCCGCTGTTCCACCAGTTGACTCGGAGCCCGCGGTCTTGCCAGATCACTCGGTGCCCGCGGTCTTGCCAGACGACCCGGTGCCCGCAGTCTTGCCAGACGACCCGGTGCCCGCAGTCTTTCCAGACGACCCGGTGCCTGCAGTCTTGCCAGACGACCCGGTGCCCGCAGTCTTGCCAGACGGCCCGGTGCCCGCTGCCCTGCCTGGGGGCCCGGTGCCCGCCGCTCCGCCTGGGGGCCCGATGCCCGCCGCCCTGCCTGGTTGCCCGGTGCCCGCCGCTCTGCCTGGTTGGTTGCCCGGTGCCCGCCACTCCGCCTGGGGGCCCGATGCTCGCCACCCTGCCTGGGGGCCTGGTGCCCGCCGCTCCGCCTGGGGGCCCGTTGCCTGCCGCCCTGCCTGGTTGCCCAGTGCCTGCCGCCCTGCCTGGTTGCCCGGTGCCCGCCGCTCCGCCTGGGGGCCCGGTGCCCGCCGCCCTGCCTGGGGGCCCGGTGCCTGCTGCCCCGCCTGGTGGCCTGGTGCCTGCTCCCCCCGCCTGGTGGCCCGGTGCCTGCTGCCCCGCCTGGTGGCCCGGTGCCCGCTGCTCCGCCTGGTGGCCCGGTGCCCGCTGCTCCACCTGGTGATCTGGCGTCCAGCCCGATGTGCCTCCGTCTGGTGTCCAGCCCGATGTGCCTCTGTCCGGTGCCCAGCCCGAAGTGCCTCCGTCCGGTGCCCAGCCCGAAGTGCCTCCGTCCGGTGCCCAGGCCGAAGTGCCTCCGTCCGGTTCCAAGCTCGAAGTGCCTCCGTCCGGTTCCCAGCTCGAAGTGCCTCCGTTCGGTTCCCAGCTCGAAGTGCCTCCGTCCGGTGCCCAGCCCGATGTGCCAGTCTTTGATATCCCGCCAGTCACCGGCGCCGGGCGGTGAAACATTTTGCCCAGCTAGGACTGTTTGGAGCGTCCTGAGGTCGCTCCTTGAGGGGGGGGTACTGTCAGGAATGGACTTGCCAATAGTGGTGGGACTCACCTGCCTTGTGGGCTGCAGTACCAGGGCTGGCCAGCGGGTGCTCTCAACAACCAGAGGTTCACTTCGGCAATTAGCCATCACCTGGGGCTGATTGCAGGTGGTGTATTTAAGGGATGGCCAGACCTGCAGTCTGTGCCTTGGTGTGTGTTTTTCCATGGGCCCCTGTATCTTGTAACCTGCATTCCTGTTCCTGTTCCTGCCTGACTTGTTGCCGACCCTGCCTGATTCTGAGCTCTGCTGACTTCTCCTGTTTGATCCCTGGCTTGTGACCCTGACCATTCTCTCCGCCTGCTCCTCCTGTACCTACCTGCCTGATAGTTATCGACCTGGCCTGCCTGACTACGTTGTTGTATTTTGGCGATGTTGCGGAGGTGGAGTCTGCATGAGTTTGTTTGTGATTGGACTTGGGGCTGGAAGGATAGATTGGAGTCACGAATGACACCAAGTACTCTGGCCTGTGGGGGGCAGGTCTGATGGCGGCATTGTTGGACGTGATGGAGAAGTCAGTAAGGGGTGGTGTGCGGGCTGGGGGGAAGACTAGGAGCTCGGTTTTGGAGAGGTTCAGTTTAAGGAAGTGGAGCGACATCTAATCTGATATTTTGTTCAGTAGGCTTGTGATGCGGGCGGAGACTGAGGGGGTGAGGCGAGGGGTAGAGAGATAGATTTGCTTGTCGTTGGCATAGAGGTGGTAGTTGAAGTTGTGAGAGTGTATGAGTTGGCCAAGGGAGGAGGTGTAGATGGAGAAGAGAAGGGGCCCAAGGACAGAGCCTTGAGGGACCCCAACGGAGGGGGGGGAGTGAGGGGGAGGTGGTAGCATTATAGGTAACGCTGAAGGAGCGTTGTGATAGGTAGGACGAGAGCCAGGAGAGAGCTGAGTCTCTGAGGCCAAGGGAGTGTAGTTTTTTGAGGAGGAGGGGGTGGTCTCGACTGTGTCGAAAGCCGTGGAGAGGTCGAGGAGAAGGAGCACTGAATAGTGGCCATTAGCTTTGGTGGTTAGCAGGTCGTTGGAGAGTTTGAGTAAGGCAGTTTCGGTGGAGTGCAGGGGACGGAAGCCAGACTGTAGGGGATCAAGGAGGTTGTTGTCGTTGAGTTGGGAGCTTAGGCGATTGTAGACTAAGCGCTCGAGGAGTTTGGATGTAAATGGCAGCAGGGAGATGGGTCTAAGGTTGTTCGGGTCAGTGGGGTCCAGGGAGGGCTTTTTAAGTATGGGAGTGATGTGCGCGTGCTTCAGAGGGGAGGGGAATGCGCCGGAAGAGAGGGAGAGATTAAAGATGTGGGTGAGGGAGCGTAGAATGGAGGAGGAGGGAGGTCATAGGAGTTGTGAGGGGACAGGGTCGAGGGGGCAGGTGGTGAGGTGGGCTTCAGAGAAGACCTTGGTGACCTCCCTTAATGGTAGAAAGGTCGAAGGAGTGGAGTGTGTTGAGGGGGCTTCAGTATGAGGGATGTTAGGTGGGGTGGAGGTCAGAACAGTGGTGAGGCCGAGGAAGAGGGGTGATGAGGGGGTTGCTGTGTGAGAGGAGATGGGTGGGGAGGAGGTCTGGGCGCGGCGATGTCCCCGCGGATTGTGTCAATCTTGTTTTTGAAGTGATTGCCAATCTCGAGGGCGGTGAGTGAGGTGCTGAGAGGAGGTGGGGGTGGAGAGAGTAGAGAGTTGAATGTGGAGAAGAGCCGGCGAGGATTGGAGGAGAGGGTCTTGATGAGGGCCAGGAAGTAGGCTTGTTTGGCAGATTGGAGGGAGGTGTAGGTGTGGAAGGCAGATTTATAGCGGGTAATGCCTACTATTATCGTCTGAAATGTGAGTGCAGTTGCTTTTATCCATTTTTATTCTAAATTAAGCAGTTTTACACTATGGAGGTTTATTCTTCTGTTATATGGGCCTGCTGATGTGAGTTGTATCCGAGTATCTCTGTGCCTGCCTGTCCATTGACCCAGAGGGGTTCCTAGTGAAGACACAATCTATCTAAGGGTCCGGTTCAGCCCAGATTTCAGACCACCAGGAGATCCTGTACAAGAAAGATCCAGGAGAGATCCATAAGGCTTTGTGGCCCCTAGGGGTCGCTGAGTGGAGGTGAGAGGCCACTACAGCCATTTGTAGGAGCACCTATTGGTGGGTCACGGTTGTTCTTGCATGATCCAGAAGATTGAAGCACTTCAGCTGTGTTCACATGTTTGTTCACATTTATTGGACTTTGTTATATGTGTGCTAATATTAGCATATGATGAGCACCTATCCCTCTACAGGGATCCACGCATTTATAGGTTGAGTCCCAGCTGTGAGGACAAAGGGTCACATGCTTATTGATCCCCCAATGGGATTGGGCTCACTATATGCTAGTCACTTATTAGGTCTGGTGTGACCTTATTTGCTTTGGAGCACACAGTGTCACTTATTTTACAGTGAGGAACAGAAGTATTTGAACACCCTGCGATTTTGCAAGTTCTTCCCACTTAGAAATCATGGAGGGGTCTGAAATTCACATTGTAGGTGCATTCCCACTCTGAGAGACAGAATTTAAAAAAAATTCAGGAAATCACATTGTATGATTTTTAAGGAACTTATTTGTCTTGCACTGCTGAACATAAGTATTTGAACACCTAAGAAACAGCAAGAATTCTGGCTCTCAAAGACCTGTTACTGTGCCTTTAAAAAGTCCACGTCTACTCCACTCATTAATCTAACTTAGTAGCACCTGTCTGAGCTCTTTAAAGACACCTGTCCACCCCACAGTCAGTCAGACGCCAACTACTACCATGGGCAAGACTAAAGAGCTGTCAAAAGACACCAGAGACAAAATTGTGGACCTCCACAAGGCTGGAAAGGGCTACAGGGCAATTGCCAAGCAGCTTGGTGAAAATAGATCAACTGTTGAAGCAATTGTTAGAAAATGGAAGAGGCTAAAGACGACTGTCAGTCTCCCTCGGACTGGGGCTCCATGCAAGATCTCACCTTGTGGGGTATCACTAATGATAAGAAAGGTGAGGAATCAGCCCAGAACTACAAGGGAGGAGCTTGTCACTGACATGAAGAGAGCTGGGACCACAGTTTCAAAGGTCACTGTCGGTAAAACACTACGCCGTCATGGTTTCAAATCATGCATTGCATGGAAGGTTTCCCTGCTCAAGTCATCACATGTCCAGGCCCATCTGAAGTTTGCCAATGACCATCTGGATGATCCAGAGGAGGCATGGGAGAAAGTCATGTGGTCAGATGAGACCAAAGTAGAACTTTTTGGTCTAAACTTCACTCGTCGTGTTTGGAGGAAAAAGAAGGATGAGTTGCATCCCAAGAACACCATCCCTACTGTGAAGCATGGGGGTGGTAACATCATGCTTTGGGGGTGCTTTTTTCTGCGAAGGGGACAGGACGACTGCACTGTATTATTATTATTATTATTATACAGTATTTATAAAGCGCCAATAGTTCGCTCAGCGCTGTACATTACAGAGGGGGACAGAACATGTGACAGAACAATACCAATACAATGCAAAACATGAGGGGATTGAGGGCCCTGCTCTTTCAAGCTTACAATCTAGGAGGGAGGGGATGGTGGCACAGGAGGAGATAGCTGTGGGGGATGGAGTGGTAGGAAGAGTGGAGGAGGTCAGCAAGTTAGCAGGGGGTGGGGTAGGCTTCCCTGAAGAGATGGGTTTTCAGGGTGCGCCTAAAGGAGAGGAGAGTAGGTGATAATCTGATGGGTTGGGGCAGGGAGTTCCAGAGGATGGGTGACACCCTGGAGAAGTCCTGGAGGCGGGCATGGGAGGAGGAGACCAGGGAACTAGAGAGAAGGAGGTCTTGTGAGGAGCGGAGTGTGCGTGCTGGGCGGTACTTGGATATTAGGTCAGGGATGTAGTTCGGGGCAGTATGGTGGACAGCTTTGTACGTCAGCGTTAGGATTTTGAATTTGATCCGTTGCGCAATCGGAAGCCAGTGGAGGGATTGGCAGAGGGGGGTGGCGGAGACAGAGCGGTTGGAAAGGTGAATGAGTCTGGCAGCCGTATTCAGGATCGACTGAAGTGGGGGGGCCAGCGGTGAGGCAGGCCAGTGAGGAGGGAGTTGCAGTAGTCAAGTCGTGATATGATGAGGGAGTGGATGAGCTGTTTAGTGGTTTCTGGAGTTAGGAACGTGCGGATTTTGGCGATGTTGCGGAGGTGGAGTCTGCACGAGTTTTTTAAAGATTGGACTTGGGGCTGGAAGGATAGGTTGGAGTCCAGAATGACACCAAGTACTCTGGCCTGCGGGGCGGGTTTGATGGTAGCGTTATTCGATGTGATAGAGAAGTCAATGGGGGGTGGTGTCCGGGCTGGGGGGAAGACAAGATACTCGGTTTTGGAGAGGTTCAGTTTAAGGAAGTGGAGCAACATCCAGTCTGATATGTCGCTCAGCAGGTGTGTGATTCGGGCGGAGACCAAGGGGGTGAGGTGGGGGGTTGAGAGATAGATTTGTGTATCGTCGGCATAGAGGTGGTAGTTGAAGCCGTGAGAGTGTATGAGTTGGCCAAGGGAGGAGGTGTAGATGGAGAAGAGAAGGGGCCCAAGGACAGAGCCTTGAGGGACCCCAACAGAGAGGGGGAGTGAGAGGGAGGTGGTAGCATTATAGGTAACGCTGAAAGAGCGTTGTGACAGATAGGATGAGAGCCAGGAGAGAGCAGAATCTCTGAGGCCGAGGGAGTGTAGTGTTTTGAAAAGGAGGGGGTGGTCGACTTTGTCAAAGGTCGCAGAGAGGTCAAGGAGTAGGAGCACTGAATAGTGGCCATTAGCTTTGGCGGTTAGCAGGTCGTTGGAGAGTTTGAGTAAGGCAGTTTCGGTGGAGTGCAGGGGACGGAAGCCAGACTGTAGGGGATCAAGGAGGTTGTTGTCGTTGAGTTGGGAGCTTAGGCGATTGTAGACTAAGCGCTCGAGGAGTTTGGATGTAAATGGCAGCAGGGAGATGGGTCTAAGGTTGTTCGGGTCAGTGGGGTCCAGGGAGGGCTTTTTTAAGTATGGGAGTGATGTGCGCGTGCTTCAGAGGGGAGGGGAATGCGCCGGAAGAGAGGGAGAGATTAAAGATGTGGGTGAGGGAGCGTAGAATGGAGGAGGAGGGAGGTCATAGGAGTTGTGAGGGGACAGGGTCGAGGGGGCAGGTGGTGAGGTGGGCTTCAGAGAAAGACCTTGGTGACCTCCTTAATGGTAGAAAGGTCGAGGAGTGGAGTGGAGTGTGTTGAGGGGGCTTCAGTATGAGGGATGTTAGGTGGGGTGGAGGTCAGAACAGTGGTGAGGCCGAGGAAGAGGGGTGATGAGGGGGTTGCTGTGTGAGAGGAGATGGGTGGGGAGGAGGTCTGGGCGCGGCGATGTCCCCGCGGATTGTGTCAATCTTGTTTTTGAAGTGATTGCCAATCTCGAGGGGGCGGTGAGTGAGGTGCTGAGAGGAGGTGGGGGTGGAGAGAGTAGAGAGTTGAATGTGGAGAAGAGCCGGCGAGGATTGGAGGAGAGGGTCTTGATGAGGGCCAGGAAGTAGGCTTGTTTGGCAGATTGGAGGGAGGTGTAGGTGTGGAAGGCAGATTTATAGCGGGTAATGCCTACTATTATCGTCTGAAATGTGAGTGCAGTTGCTTTTATCCATTTTTATTCTAAATTAAGCAGTTTTACACTATGGAGGTTTATTCTTCTGTTATATGGGCCTGCTGATGTGAGTTGTATCCGAGTATCTCTGTGCCTGCCTGTCCATTGACCCAGAGGGGTTCCTAGTGAAGACACAATCTATCTAAGGGTCCGGTTCAGCCCAGATTTCAGACCACCAGGAGATCCTGTACAAGAAAGATCCAGGAGAGATCCATAAGGCTTTGTGGCCCCTAGGGGTCGCTGAGTGGAGGTGAGAGGCCACTACAGCCATTTGTAGGAGCACCTATTGGTGGGTCACGGTTGTTCTTGCATGATCCAGAAGATTGAAGCACTTCAGCTGTGTTCACATGTTTGTTCACATTTATTGGACTTTGTTATATGTGTGCTAATATTAGCATATGATGAGCACCTATCCCTCTACAGGGATCCACGCATTTATAGGTTGAGTCCCAGCTGTGAGGACAAAGGGTCACATGCTTATTGATCCCCCAATGGGATTGGGCTCACTATATGCTAGTCACTTATTAGGTCTGGTGTGACCTTATTTGCTTTGGAGCACACAGTGTCACTTATTTTACAGTGAGGAACAGAAGTATTTGAACACCCTGTGATTTTGCAAGTTCTTTCCACTTAGAAATCATGGAGGGGTCTGAAATTTCACATTGTAGGTGCATTCCCACTCTGAGAGACAGAATTTAAAAAAAATTCAGGAAATCACATTGTATGATTTTTAAGGAACTTATTTGTCTTGCACTGCTGAACATAAGTATTTGAACACCTAAGAAACAGCAAGAATTCTGGCTCTCAAAGACCTGTTTTACTGTGCCTTTAAAAAGTCCACGTCTACTCCACTCATTAATCTAACTTAGTAGCACCTGTCTGAGCTCTTTAAAGACACCTGTCCACCCCACAGTCAGTCAGACGTCAACTACTACCATGGGCAAGACCAAAGAGCTGTCAAAATACACCAGAGACAAAATTGTGGACCTCCACAAGGCTGGAAAGGGCTACAGGGCAATTGCCAAGCGCAGCTTGGTGAAAATAGATCAACTGTTGAAGCAATTGTTAGAAAATGGAAGAGGCTAAAGACGACTGTCAGTCTCCCTCGGACTGGGGCTCCATGCAAGATCTCACCTCGTGGGGTATCACTAATGATAAGAAAGGTGAGGAATCAGCCCAGAACTACAAGGGAGGAGCTGGTCACTGACATGAAGAGAGCTGGGACCACAGTTTCAAAGGTCACTGTCGGTAAAAAACACTACGCCGTCATGGTTTCAAATCATGCATTGCATGGAAGGTTTCCCTGCTCAAGTCATCACATGTCCAGGCCCATCTGAAGTTTGCCAATGACCA